CACAAACACATAATCCCAGACACACAAGCGCGCACGCGCACAAACACATAACCCCAGATACACAAGTGCGCACACGCATGAACACATAATCCCAGACACACAAGCGTGCACACGCACAAACGCACAATCCCAGACACACAAGCACGCACACGCACAAACACATAATCCCAGACACATAAACATGTGCACACACAATCTCAGGCACACAAGTGCATGTACACATGCATAACCCCAGATTCACAAGCCTGCATGCGCACACAATCCCAGACCCACATGCACACACACACATAGTGCAGCCGCACCAGCATATACAAACAAAATGCACACTCACAAGTGCACACAACTCACAAACATAAATGTGCACATAAACATAAGAATGCTCACATGCACAATCCAGACTGCAAAGATTGTGTCTTTTTATTTTTTAGTATTTTTACTTGTAGACGGAAATGAGAAAAAAATTGTTATTAAAAAAACCAAGGATTACTGCAGTTTTTGAAAGCAAGTAACTTGACTGTCATTGTAACTGCTATTTATACAGCTGTTGTTCAAGCAGGAATAGTAGTAGCAACAGACAGGCTGGACCCATGGGCTGTGTACAAATGGAGATTCAGCCGGCAACAAGTAGCTGATAGATCTGTGGACCAGGGACCAGTCATTGATGAAAAAGTCCTTTTGCCTGCCAGCAACTATGTGGTTGGTTCCCAAGTAGGTGAGCAAAATAATGAGAAGCACTAGGCTTCAACAGCTCAGAAACTGTCGATGCTCAGTTGCTGTAAGCTGTGTCTTTTCATTAATAAATCAGAGACCTTTAATCAGGGCAAACCAGCCAAACTGTCCCTTCTGCAAGCGTGTGAAAGAATCCAGAGAAGGAAGATCAAGAAGAAGCATTCTGATCAGCAGAAGAATCATCTCAGCAAATCCTAATAACAGAAATTACTGAACTGTTTTCCCAATTTCTCCCACTGCCCCCAATGCCTATGCTTTTTTCCTGTCTGTACATGCAGATGGTGAGTTTATAAAGGGTTTAAAATTTTAACTAGTAGAGTTATGTGCCAAGAATTCATAATTGTTTAATTGTAGCTGGAATAAATAGTAATAATAAATAGTAAAACTTGTTATGTACAGAAACCTGGTCCGTACTTTCTGTCAACCTGGGTCTGAAAATGAGGTAAGTTGTGAAAGTCTGGGTACATGTGAAATTATTAACTTTTGTGATGACCCCAGTTATAGCAGGGCTCGATTTTCAGTGCTCTACCCCAGTGAGGCATGACAAGACAAACACATGCACACATACATGATCCAGACATAGGCACTCCAAACACACAAATACACATACAAAATTTCAGCACACACAAGCAGGCAGACAATCCCAGGCATACAATCTCTCTCTCACACACAGACACACACACACACACACACAATCCAGGGATACAAACGCACGCATATCCAATCAAGGCACACAAGCACATGCACGGACAATCACACGCACACATAAACTAGGCACACAAGCGCACAATTACATACAATCCAGATACACACGCACACACAAGCATGTGTGTCATCCAGATATCCAGACACAAACTCCAAACACACAAGCACACATAGTTGGAATCCAAACACACAAGCTTGCATACACACAATCCAGGCACATTAGCACGCATACGCACAATCTAGACACGAGAACTCACATGCAATCCAGACACACAAGTACACATACCAACAGTCCTGATACGCATAAGTGCACACACAGGCAGTCTAGACACACTGCAAAGAATGTATCTTATTGTTTTTCTGTATTTTTTTTAATTGTGGACTGGAATGGAAACAGGAATGTTTTGAAAACCAAGGACTGTGGAAAGGATTATTGCACGTTGTAAAAACAAGTTCCATGACACTCATTGTTAAGTGCTGTTTACATCGCTGTCTGTTCAATTAGTGGGTTAGGCTACTACAGACAAGCTGGAGCCAGGACTGTGTATGAAGGGAGATTTGGTCAGCAACACATAGCTAATTGGTTTGTGAAATTGTGACCACAGCTGTCCTTCTGCCTACCAACAATTGTGTGGCTGGTGGAAGTACCACGTTGCTTTATGTTGCGCTTTTAAACCTGGGGACTGAAATAAGATAGAGCTGCTTAAAAACAGTTTTTGAAAGAATGGCTGCAGATTTGATTCAAATAACCTGAGACCCATTACAAATATTGTAAATAGTGTTTGAACATGCAGTAATTGAAGTTTATAGAGTCATAGAGATATACAGCATGGAAACAGACCCTACAATCCAACCTGTCCATGCCAACCAGATATCCGAAATTAATCTAGTCCCATTTGCTAGTATTTGGCCCATATCCCTGTAAACCTTTCCACTTCACATACCCATCCAGATGCCTTTTAAATGTTGTAATTCTACCTGCCTCCACCACTTCCCTCTTGCAGCTTGTTCCATACAAATACCACCCTCTGGGTGAAAAGGTGGCCCCTCAGGTCTTTTTAAAATCTTTTCCCCTCTCACTTAAATCTATGCCCTCTAGTTTTCGACTCCCCTACCCTGGGAAAAAGATCTTGACTATTCATCCTATCCATGCCCCTCATGATTTTAAAATCCTCAATAAGGTCACCCCTTAGCCTCCAATCTCTAGGGGAAAAATGCCCAGCCTCTTTAACTTCTCCCTATAGCTCAAAACCTCCAATCCTGGCAACACTCTTGTAAATCTTTTCTGAACCCTTTCAAGTTTAACAACATCTTTCCTAAAGCAGGAGCCAGAACTGAATGCAGAATTCCAAAAATGACCTTACCAATGTCCTGTAGCGCTGCAATATGACATCCCAATACCTCTACTCAATGCACTGACTAATAAAGGCAAGCATGCCAAATGGCTTCTTCACTACCCTGTCTACCTACAACTCCACTTTCAAGGAATTATGCACTGTACCCCTAAGTCCTTTTGTTTGGCAATACTCCCCTGGGCCCTACCATTTACTGCATGATTTCCCATGCACAAAGTCATGTTAACTTTCCCTAATCAGTCCTTGCCTTTCCAAATCCATGTAAATCCTGTCCCTCAGAATCCCCTCCAACAACTTACCCACCACTGATGTCAGGCTCACCAGTCTATCATTCCCTGGTTTTTCTTACCACCTTTTTTAAATAATGGCACCTCATGAGCCAACCTCCATTCTTCCGGCATGCCACCCGTGGCTATTGATGATACATATATCTCAGCGAGAGCCCCAGCAATCTCTTCCCTAGCTTCCCACAAAGTTCTGGGATACACTTAATCAGACCAAAGGGATTTATCCATCTATGTGCATCTTAAGATGTCCAGCATCACCTCTTGTGTAATATAGACACTTTCCAAGATATCACTATTTATTTTCCCAAGTTCTCTAGCTTCCTTATCCTTCTCCACAGTAAATACTGATGCGAAATACTGGTTTAGCATCTCACCCAACTCCTATGGTTCCACACTCAGACAGCCTTGTTGATCTTTACCGGGCACTATACTCTCGAATTACTCTTTCCCTTAGGTTAGTTCTAGATGATTTGGAGCCAAGGGGATGTATTGATGCAGATTTTGCTTGGTCTTGTTGATTGGTCTACGTACTAGTGACCATATAATGATGACAAACACCATTTTTACACGCCAACAACTTTGTGATTGGTTCTCAGGTAATTGAGCAGCTTGGAACTGGGAGCAAATTGCAAAGAGAGAGAAGTTATTAGTTCTTCCCCAGTTAATGAATGGCTTCTTTGTTCTTTTTGGTCAAAACTCACTGTAAATATGAATAAAAGCAGTATTTTCATCCTTGTTGTTGTTGTAACAGTTGCTGTAACCTGTGACTTTTAACTGATAAGTCAGAGACTTGTTTTAAATGAGTTAGTCACTTTGGAACTGGAATAGATAACTGAAGCAAAGTGCTGGCAACAGAAGAGTCATTAAGATAATTTCAACAACAGAAGCTGGCAGCAAACACTACTGAACAGTCTTCCAAGCTTACCCCTTTGTCCATAACCTGTCTTGGATATTTGTCTACCTGTAAGA